ATGCTCATTTTAAAATTATTTTACGACATTGCTATTGAACTAAATTTTATGATTTAAGTGCAAAGAACATGATATTTAATAAATAAAGGCACAATATGTTAAAAAACGCCTCTTTGGACGTAATTTAAAATCTAAAAACCTTTCAGCTTTTTTTTTTCGCAGCGTACTGTAATATCTTGTTATTTAACAAATAACTATATTAATTATTGAAGTGGCAACGCCATATTTGTTTGATGTAACTGTTGCTCAGCAACAGAAGAAATTGTTTAAAAATTAGTATTCTGAAGTTTGACCAGCTAGCAGATGTATGAAAATTTTGCCATTTAAGAATTGTATAGAAATTATCTCTCTCCGTAAACTAAAAATAAAATTTGTATTCTACTAAGAAGATTATTTGTTTCGTCAATTACTGTAAAATACATTACAGTACTTTTGTTGGGTATGCCTTTTTGGCCTTCTTTCCAGTCAGATGTAAACTTTGACGTATTTGTCCTTTCATATTAATTATGCCACTTATTCTTACGTGTAGAAATATTAAAACCATGCTTTTCACATCTTTTTTTAATAACCGAATAAGAGTATTTTAGTTCGGGCAGCGCAAAAATATAGCATTCGATCTATTGTTTACTTTTCCGCGGCATTAAGAATGTTTTTAATGCTGCAGACGATAACTAAACCTTACTCCAATCTGATGCCAGTCACGTTTGTATTTTAAAATTAATATTTAAATTCAATTTTTAAAAATCAAAATTGTTAGAAAAATGTGTTAACACCCTCTGTATAGATTTTAGTGCGGACTCTTTTTAGTTTTGCTGATCTATTTCTTTGCTTGTTTTGTCCACAATTGTCTTTTAAATCTGCGACTAGAAATCAATATCTCAGTTAATATACTATATGTTACCGCCAAAGTATGAAACCGGCATTTCATATAAAGCCTAGGCATTGTATATAATGCCTAAAACTAGCCGGCAATGTATGATACGATTCGTATTTCATACATTTCCTATAGAATACCAAATGACAAACCGGCAAAGTATTAAATACATTTCCGATTCATTTCGAAGAACCAAAATTGCTTACCAGAAGTTAATAAATGATGTAAAAAATCCAAAATGACTACTAAGAAGGAATCACGGGACTACTGGCCGCCGAATCGCTAGGTTGTGGTGTTTGTGGAAAACCAAACGTACATTCACTTTGTAAGGATCTTAAGTTTTACTAACGTTTATTTTATTTTAAATCTTTACTATCACTTCTTATTTTCTACTTCCGGCCAGAATTATAAGCGTTAAAGTATTTATGCAAAGTTTGTCTGGCGAACGCCAAGTATTTAAGTTGTGGCTTTTTGCCAAGCGAAAGAGAGGAAGCAGTGAGTCGAAGCAGGCCGCTTACCTTAGAAGTTTACTCAGTTGCTGGTTGCCTTCCAGGCCAGAGGTTTTAATCCTCTTGATAATTTTTAAACGTATTGTAGTGTTCTCAGTTATCTGTACTACATATGGCTTCCTGTTAATATAAGGCCAATCTTCCACGTTATTATTTCAAAGTTAAGTTAGTGTTTAGTTATATTTTTTATATTCTTACGTTTAGACCACAAGTGGTGGGTCATTGTATTCCGAAGTACGGAAATTATTGTAAATAGAGAAAAATAAAGGGTTTTGTATACCCTTCTTGTGTATCCTGTCTACTTCCCACAGTTTTGAACATAGCTTTAGTAAGCTCTCTGTTCCGAGTCAGGTCCTTGCATGTTCCCGAAGAAGGTTAGACGGAACATTGAACCTGATAACTTATCCTGTTAATGAAAGCGTCAGTACTATGCAGTATTGCGTCACGGACGCCGAGTTATTTTTCGCATTTCATGAAAACTTATTTGAGTACTGCACAGGAACGACGTGAAAGAATGTCGAAAGAACTTTCAACCAATTGCAAAAGCGTTACACGTAACGATATTGAACTATAACCACCACCTTTGTGAGCCCTGCCAGAAAAAAAACAAAAAGGTATTAAAAAGGGCACTGATGGGAAACTTATGATTGTTTCTGAATTTAACTTCCGTTGTCAGGTAGATCTTACCGATTCCCAGTCTCGGCCAGATAGAAAATATAAATTTATTACACTGCATCAACCTCACTATCTGTTTTTTTTTTACATATTTCGAAGAACAGTTTTTTTAATGGCATTCTTTCCTTAATTTTTCAAAATAACATTTGTACCAGCGTGTTTCAAAACGAATATACGTATTTCGAATGCATATATTTATTAAACTGTATGGCACGAATATGAAACTTTACACACTTATGTGCGAACCTCTTAAGTTCAGATTACAGATGTTCAGTATGTTCTCCATTAGAGATATGAACAATATCACATCGAAACTCAAATTCCTCCCATACTCGGACAAGTATGTCCATCGTCACTGATGTTATGGCAGTATAAATTCGGTTCTTCACCTATTCCAGGTTCTGTGGTAGTGGTGGTACATAAACGTTGTCTTAATGAAATACCACAGGAAGAAGTCACAGGGTGTCAAATCCGGTGACCGTGGAGGCCAGCTGAGACATGCTAAGTCACCAGCTGCTTGACGACCAATCTAACGGTTCGGTAGAATTTTATTCAGATAATCACGCACTTGGAGATACCAGTGAGGGGTGCCCGTCTTGTTGAAAAATGAAGTTGTCTTCGTGCAGCCTCGGAAAGAACCAGTTTTGTAACATAGCGAGCTGACCGTTAACCGTGTTTCTATCAAAGAAGAATGGGCCGTAAACAGATGATCGGGATACCGCACAACACATTGACTTTGGGCGAATCTCGTACGTGTTGAATGACTGCATGTGGGTTCTGTAGGCCCAAAATTGAACATTGAGCCGACGTCTCAAAAGAAGCCAAAGTGTTGTTGTAGGAAGTTGTAACTCCCGACAGGCACGACGAGTTGATTTTGAAGGACTACGTTGGAAAACAGTTTGAATTCGTGCAGCAGTTTCGTCGGGAACACGAGGGCGGCCAGAACTCTTTCCTTTACATACACATCCTGTATTTACAAATTGTCCATACCATCTGCGAATGTTCCACCTATTCGGAGGATCACTTTGGTAACTCCACTTGAAACGTCTTTGCATTGTAATCACGGAATTGCACTTCGCAAACTCGAGAACACAAAATGATTTCTGCTCCGAAGTAGACATTTTAAACGCGTGACGGTTACCACGCAAAACAGAAGACAACTGACATCTAGCGGCTATTAATATAAACTAGACTATGTATTCGTTTCGCCAATAGCAGAGCCGAGACGCAGTGATCGATAGTTTGGACAAAATAACACTTTGTAATACGTATATTCTTTTTGAAACACGGTGTATTTTAGAGGAATGAACAACTTATAAAAAATAGCCTTATCGTATCGTAACCTTTTTTTTTTTTTTTTTTTTTTTTTTTTTGATACTTTGCCTAAAGAGCATTTGTCATTTGTCCTATAGCAGTGATGGCGAACCTATGGCACGCGTGCCACAGTCGGCACGCAGAGCCTCATCAGCCGGCACGCAATTAAAATATTACTTCCTTAAACAATAATCACAATAAAATGATACTATGTAATTTAAATAAGTATTTTAGTCTGTTCTTGAAGTTTTCACTTATTTATTTATTGCATAATGCCACTATAGGATCTAAGCCTAGATATAAGATTTTCATACATCGCCATAGAAATGATATACATATTAATTGACCCAATTTATTACATTTCAATTGTTTGGGCCAATCAAATTACTTGTTACACGGCGAAAAACACGCCAAAGTTGAAGCAGCTAATGTTTGCTAAATGAATTCAAATTTATTGCAGACTGTCGGTGAGTGTTAATACTTTCATTGCTAAACAGATTTTCCATACACCAGGTCTTGAACCTTCACAAATGACTCCAGCAAAAAAGGCAAAATTAAACATTGATAGTGGAAGATAATTTCCAGAGACCCGGACAGAATCATTTGGAGTTATTGAACACAATAAAAAAGCATTATGCATGCTGTGCCCGGAAAGTGTTGTGTATCGCACGTCTAGTATCAGACGGCACTTTAACAACACCAACCACAAGATTGTTGCCGAATTTGATGAAGCTGAACGGAAGGTGTTTATTGAAAGGAAATTGAGGAACTATAATTACCAGAAAGTTGAAGGACACACTGATTAAATAGAGCTTCAAAATGAGTGCTGAAACGAGCATTGTTGTCAATGAATCGGCCGATGAGATGCGGAGAAACAAAGAATACAGACTTTCAGTTGTCCTAGATTATCGGGGAGCCCGATCTGGGCAAACCTAGGGTTCGCCGTTTAATTTTAAGCAAGATTTCAAGGTAAAAATTTAAGACTAATATAGAATAAAAAGATTAGCATACGGCCAAAAAAATAACATATAAATTTCTTTTCAAACAATTCCTTTTATACCCTAAAAAAAGTCTGAAACATTTCTTTGAAAAATGAAGGTCTTAAAAAACTAAACATGGCTAAACTATAAGGACTGGTTTGTGTTGAGCTGCGATCTACTATAAATAAAGAAGGTTCAGAGTAACCTATAAATTTTTTTTCATTCAATTTTTCTTTGCGCACAGAAGGAAATTTTTAGGTGTGTCCAGACCGGACACACTCTGCCGCAAAGGGTTAAAATGAACCACCTAACAACGATCAGCTTTCAAATTTCACTGTGCCTGGCAAAACAGGATAAACCGCTCTCCAACGGGGATGTAATCAAAGAGGTTTGGGGCCCCCGGCCCCACCAAGAAAAGGGTTTTGGCACGCGGCTTCAAAAAGGTTCGCCACCACTCTTATATACAATGCCTAGGCATTATATACAATGCCTAGGGAAAGTATGTAATAATTCTCTTATTCCATACTTTGCCTAAAATCGTCCGCCATTACATACAATGCCTAGGCATTCTATAGGATGCCGGCGTTTCATACTTTGTCGATAACATATACAAAGCATGGTAGTTAAAATATTGTGATAAGTACTTACTCTACATCGTCTTTTCCGTTGAAATTCGTAAAAACTCCGATGTACACGCAGATGATTGAGATGATGACACAGAGAAGAGCGATGGGTGCAAGCTTGCTGACAAATGCCACACCGATGTACACCATGATGCCCACCAGTACGAGCAATATCGTGCCGTACGTCCGGAAATTGTGATACATGATTTCGCTATCATCTCGAAAATCCCCATATAATGACATTTGGGGAGCTATATAGTTCTAAATATGAAAATGGAAAATAATTAAAATCACAAAGGTTACTGAAAATGCAGCAAACATTGATAATGCATGTTATCAATGTTGGAAAATTTAAATTTGTCATTATTTTAAAATGGTTTAGCAGGATTTATGCTTTTTTTTTAAGGTGAAGAATCTAAAATGATTTAATTTTTTTTTTAATTTTCCATTCCTGAACGAATTTATTTCAGATTGTGCGGTGCAAGCCTTATAAGGTATTTTTCCCCGCCTTTCATAATGCCTTCGTGGTGTAACGATTGTAGAGACATTAGGTACTAGACATTAGGAGAAGCAGGAAAGATGAAAAATTAACAACGTCTTCTCCGAGAATCGAACTGCGGACCTCTGGAATACAGGCCCAGCGTGCAGACCACTACACCACGAAGGCACGCTAGAAAAGCGGGAGAAATACCTTATGCAGTTAGCACACTCGGCGCATATTCGGGAGCTCTAGGTTCGAGTCCCGGTGAAGGCATTGCACATTTTTCCCATCTCCTGCTTCAAAAAAACGTAATGACCCTACAGTGGCGCCCGAACTAAAAGATGGTGGATGATGATTCTTGACCGGCAGGATTTGGCGAGTGGGTCCTCTAATCCCCAGTCGCCCTTTAAAAGGGGGATATTTTCTCCCTCCTTTCAGCATGTCTTCGTGGTGTAACGGTTAGTACAGCCGGCGCGCATTCCAGAGGCCCAAGTTTGAGTCCCGGCGAAGGCATTCAACATTTTTCACATCTTCTTCAAAATAACTTCATGACTCTATAACCTAAACTATTGAAATGTTGTTACTTATGCTCACTTGTCTAACGCAGTCAGCCCAAGTCTACGAAATTCCTCGTGGCAACGAGCGCTAGATTACACCTGTCTTTGGCAACAGCCTGGAGCACCTAACAGGTGACGTTGCGATTTGGTTCAGATCCGCCCCCCTAATTTTGATGGAGAGTACCCCGGGGGGGGAACTGGTCCCAGGATCTTCGACCTCTCTTCCCTTCCACTAAACCACACGAGAGGACTTTCGGCTTGCCGCATATGCCTCCTACCTAGTCAGCGACGCTGACTACTATATCGGTTGAGCGACAAACTATTGAAATGTATAATGAGTAGCAAGTGAAAGAATTTTTGTAGAAAATATTATATTTGTTGCTCATTCTGAGTTCGTAAACACGTCCTTAAATAAACGGACAGATGGACATGGAAAACTTGGATTTTTGTTTTCGCTTTTTGAATATGATTTTTACAGAGAAGATGAATAGATATAAATAGTATTTCAAAGAACACTCAAATATACGCCGAAATTTTCTTTAACCTGCAAGATCAGCAAAGTCTAAAGCAGTGATCTATGAGCAGAAGATCAACAACACCCACAAATAAACTGCACTTAACTACTTATAAACTAATTCAATTACTAATGACTCACAGACATTCTTAATCTTTTATACACGTCATTTATCGTAATACATGCTACATTTCGATTGGTGTAACAGAATGTTCGCCATAACGATTGACCATTATGTTGAGCTTTAATAATGATTGGCCGATTGGCCATCTATTTAGAAATAACGTAGAAATGGTGAGATTATAGGGTCTATTCACATTGATGTGGCCATCTTCTAAGTTTGACGTCAGCGCTAAATAACCAATGGTATAAGGAATGTGACAACAGCGGATTTTGTGCATGGACCTTATATGAAATAACCCAACATACTATAATCATTGGGGGAAGTTTTATGCAGGGCTGTGGAGTCGGAGTCGGGCAGATTTTGGGGTAAGAGGAGTCGGAGCCGGAGTCGCTGAAAAGAGGTCGACTCCGACTCCAGTTTTTGTTGTACAGTTGGAATTTGAAATGAAATTTAAATAAATTGAAAAAAAAATTAATGAAAAGTTGAGTTATTATTTTTATTTACGGACCGTATACATTAATAAATAGTTTTTTCTATTTTATTGACATTAATAAATAAATATAAGGATGGATGAGATATTTGCCATTCGTGATTAAAGTGATTCATTTACGAGGGTAAGTTGAAAAATAAGTTTCCCCTGTCGACTATGGTCAGAGTTGTGTTTGAAAGTCAAAAAATATAATGAGACATTAAAGATATGACATACCTTTATTTTATTATTTTCGTACGAATACGTTGAGACATTTGTCATATCGCTTGATAAGCTTAAAAAAGTCCTCCAAGAAAAATTCACGCTTTGCATATGGAAGAAGCGTTGAACGACTATGGGCGAAAGGCGACACAGCAGGAAAACGCGCAAGTCACCGATACACCATTGGGTAGAGGTTGCTGCAAATCAAGCAGATGGCGCTGTTGCAGTGCCTGCGCAAAGCGGAGATCAGCCTCTCATTTGAGCCCCGGTAGGTATGGAGAGAAGGTGCGTTTTGAATTCGTGGTCAAAGGAGGAAGTGAGAGCAGTTATCCGCTATGAATGGGCACGTGGAGTATCAGGAAAAGAAATTCATAATCGCCTCGTGGAAGTCTATGTTCCAGGTGTGATGTCGAAGCAAATGGTGCGGAGATGTTGTCGCACATTCAGTGATGGACTTCAGCAAGTGGAGGACATACCGAGAGCTGGACGGACGCGCACGGCCACTACAGATGCAAATGTCAGGAAGGTGGATGACATGATTAGAGCGAACCGGCGTATCACCATCGATGAAGTAGGGGAAGAACTTGGAATCTCACATGAGCGAGCTCAAAACATCATCCACGACATTCTTCGATACAGAAAAGTGTCAGCACGATGGGTGCCCCGACAATTGACCTCGACACACAAGGAACAACGCATGGGGGTCAGCCTGGAACATCTCGTGCATTACCATAAAGATGGCAATGACTTTCTGTTTCGGATTGTGACGGGGGAATCACGCCAGAATCGTGGGCCAGAATTTCACGCCAGAATCGAAGGCCGCATCTATGGAGTGGAAACATCCGTCATCATCTGTCCGAAAGAAGTTCAAGACAACTCCCTCTGCAGGTAAAGTGCTCCTCACAGTTTTCTGGGATGCCCAAGGAGTTTTGTTGCTGGACTTTTTGGAGGTTGGAACCATCAATGCTCCGCGTTACTGTGACACCCCGTCGAAATTGAAAGAGGCGATTCGGAAAAAGCGGCCTGGCCTTCTCACATCTGGCGTTCTGCTGTTGGATGACAATGCCAGACCACATTCGGCGACGGGAACGCAAAACCATATTGCAACTCTTGGTTGGGAGCGCCTACACCATCCGCCATACAGTCCTGATCTAGCACCAAACGACTTCCATCTGTTTCCAGCTTTGAAGAAAAATCTCGGGGGAAGGCGCTTTGGAAGCAATACTGAAGTGAAACAAGCCGTTCAACGCTTCTTCCATATGCAAAGCCCTGATTTTTTCCTGGTGGGCTTTTTTGAAGCTCATCAAGCGATATGACAAATGTCTCAATGTACTTGGTACCTATGTGGAAAAATAAAGGTATGTCATATCTTTAATGTCTCATTCTATTTTTTGACTTTTATACACAACTCTGACCACAGTCGACAGGGGAAACTTATTTTTCAACTTACCCTTGTAGTTACAAATCTCATTGGTAAATTTACGTAAGCAGCAATAGCAGCAAGAACTCACAAAACAGATGCCATTCTTAGAGAAGCAAGCAGGAAAAGGAAACATTATTGATCAAGCAACGCATTAAGGAAGTACGTATTTGATGATAAAGAATTTTTAGAATTAAGAACTTTTTTAGAAGGAGTAGATAACCCTAATGTTTTATTAACAGAAAGACTGTGGAATGATCTTTCAGAATTGGTAACTCTTGTTTCTATATGGCCACAAAAAAACGGCAAGCTGAAGAATTGACAGGAGGCGAAAATAGAAGAATGTGATGTTTGTTCTATTTTAAATTGGGGGGGGGGCTTATTGCAGAAGGAATCATTCCTTCAGTGAAGAAAAAAGGAACTAGTTTGCTAGATAATGAGATCTTGCTGGGTTCAATATATGTAGGTCCAAAACACCGAACAAATTAAAAAGGCAAAGAAAGTCATCTATGAACGTTCATTAAGAATGAAATTATTCTCAGAACAATTGCAGAATTCGAATCAGGACAGTCAAACTGCAGATATTGCAATTGAGTCTCTATCATTCTCTTCTAGGGCCCACCAGCGGCCGAGCGGTAAAGTCGCCGAACACTGGTAGTTCGGTCCGAGGTTCGAATCCCGCGAACGGGCTGGCTGCATGGGCGTTTTCGTGCTTTTCTCCATGTGTAACGTGTATACGAGCCAATTTCCCTTACAAAGTCCTCCACGAAGGCATCCCTCCCCTTAGGCAGATAGCCCTGGCGTGCTTTGCCGTACTTAAGTAAACCAAACTAAACCAAACCATTCTCTTCTAGTGATGAATTAGGTTTTATTCTGGTGTAGCAGAATGAATGTTCGCTATAACGATCAGTATCAGCAGATTTTGTGCACGGATCTTATGAGAAATAGATTAACCCAATAGACTATTTATGATTTGGGGAAATTTTATGTCAACTGGTGTAACAGAATGTTCGCTATAACGTTTGGCCATTATGGTGAGCTTCAACTACATTGCAGGGTCGAGTCACATTGGTATGGCTATCTTCTACGTTTGACGTCAGCGCTAAATAACCAATGCTATTGTGACAGCAGCAGATTTGGTGCCTGGACCTTATAAAAAATAGACTAACCCAAAATGAGAGATCGAGGGGAGTGGCGCCCTCTCGGATGGCCTCTGGAGGTTGGGGTGCTAACTATGTATGGCTTGCTTAGATAATGCTCGTCATGTCCGTGACCCCCTTTCTGTGGTGCACTGCACTGTACAAAACGACAGTTCAAAGAACCTTGCTGCACATGGAATCCCGTAGCAGTAGGATAACAATAGCACCGATGCTAACGACTTCGCATCAGCAAAAGAGACTAGAACTTGAACAGCAGTATCAACAATGGACGTCCATATTGGCAAAAAGTTGTCTTTCCCAATGAATCATGTTTTGTTTTATCAGATGAATGACACTGACGCATGCGGCGAGAAATACCAGAGATCAACGATTTGTGCACCAGTAGGGGAGCTGTAGGGGAATATTTTTGTAGCATTTCTGTGTCCATTCATCTTTGTCAATGACACATTATGTATGACACACTATGACACATTACGTATGTATTAATCCTTGCAAGCCCGTACACTCATTTATAAAGACTTTTCTCCTGGGAATAATAGCATATTCCAATATGGAAATGAGACATGCCATACAGCGATGAATGTGTATGAGTGATTGGAAAAATCACTCATATACATTCATACAACAGGAAGACATTTTTTGTACTTCTTTGCCCTCCAAAGTTCACAAACTTACTCAAACGGGAATCTAAGTGAAAACTCGATCGGGCTGCTTGCTCCAAGTATTCAGCACTGTCAACTATCTTGAAGTCAGCACGGTTTCACCATTTCTATAATAATTTTCTAGTACCTTATTTAGTCCCTCTCATCCCCTACACCGCTGTTCGGGCTGCACATGGTGATTATTCTGGATAACAATATGTGGGCATATTATGGTGATTTGACTGTGTAATTTATGCAACTGTACTATACTGATATATATAGTACACTATTATTATCTATACACTGATATATGTAGATAGTAATAGTGTTCTGTCGCGACGTTTCTTGTAATTCTTCTCGTATACAGTAAAAGAAGTACTTACACAGACAAACTGTATCTACGGAGCAAACTTAAAGAAGGATGGGCTATTATTATTTATCGAATGGCGGGCACTTGACGTTTTTCAGCATTGGCCACTCCTAAGGCCAGAAGTGGTGGCCATATTATTGTGGAGGCACCTAATAGGTGACCACCTTTACCTCCTATGAGGGGACAGAACACAAGATCTTTGGATCCCTTAGGGCTTGCCATACAGGGTTTGATTTATCCAAGGTCCTGAGACATCGTCTGAGGCAGCGTGGACCCCACAGTCCCTGCCCGGCTTTATACAAAGCAATCACAAAGATAAAATGCTTTTGACAAATAGTAAATACAAAAAAGAATGCTTAATACACCTCTGTATCCGGGCAACACTTCATCGGCTTCGATTGGAACGTTTGGTGGTCTGTCCGCTGTGACAGTCTCCGTCACTGGGACTATAAGGGCCAAACCCCCAAAGACTTAGACCAAATATACGATGTCTCTAGTCCTGTGAAGAATGATTATTTACTCTGAGGGCCGAAGCTGTTTAGACACAAGTCTAGCCAGTTGTCTCCTCCCATAAATGATCGGTTCCGGAAGTTCCACCCAGTCGATCTCCAGGGATGTTTATCCAGCATCGTTACCACATGCCAGCCGAAGCCGACATGGTTACCAGCTGGGGTTCAGAGGAGGCCGATGCTCAATTGGGAGGCGAGGCAAGCCTCCAATCCCTCGGCAGCTGCACCTTCAGATCAAACACCGAGTCACCTACCGCCAGCGAGACCAGTTAGATCCCTGCCTTCTGTGGGCTACAGACCCCGGCTCTTCGGTATTGCAGTCGGCTTCCCTAACCCCTATACAGTCTGGGCGGCAGCTATTTTTATTGTTTATGCTGATCTAGGCAGGACACAGGAGACCATCAATACAGCAGCTACACCATCATTAGCAGAGCGAACATATGCGCAAAATGATTTACAGGCCGAGAAACGCAATTTGTGGATATCCAATTCATTATATAGGAATGGATGGACCGATTTTGATGCGAATTGTTGCATTACACTCCAAATACGTGCCCTAACCTGTTGCTGTACAAAAAAAAAAAAAAAAAAAAAAAATTCGATTGGAACAGGGATAAACCAGAGAACCGGTTTCTGGGGCAAAATTTCGATCCTGATTATCTCGGTTCCTATGGATTCGACTGAAACACGGTTTGAAAATTAAAGTGCCAGGGGGGTAGCCCTTATTTTTCATATAAAAAAATTTCGTTTCGCCATGGGGGTCACGGGGGTTTTGCCCCCCCCCATATTAACGTTTTTCGCGTATTTCTCCGGAACAGCTCGATAGAAAATCGTAATTTTTTTCTGTAGCAGCAGACTCATACGACCTTCATCTCCTGCAAGAACGGTGGCTCTATCTACAATAGGCGATGTTTAGGGATTTTTTAAATTTTGTGAAAATTTTCAAAAATCGATAAAAAATAGAAATTTGATAGTTATTAAAAAAACCGAAATATCCAAAATGTTTGTCTAGAGACGCTGTTTGATTAAAAAAATATCTCTAGACCAATTAGGACCCGAGTTCCATATAACGGTATAACCCGTACAAACGTGGGGCGCATTCATGGGTCATTAGGAAATTGCGCCCTAATTAAGGTACACACATAATACCTATATGTGTATATATATGTGTATCATAATACCTATATGTGTGTAGCTTTTATGCGGTATTGATGTATACTATCTACCACCCGCTATCACCGGCATTTCTTAGATATAGAATTTCATAAAGTTAGAAAAGGTATGCAAATGTACATAAAAAACAGATATCATACAGATAATGTGGTGTGTACAATGATGACAATTTTTACAATAATGCTCGTTACATAGTATAGAGTGAATTATTACATTTGTTGAGTATGTAAATTTACAAATTTGAACATAAAATTTTGAAGAATATCAGAATTACGCAATAAATACAGACATTAAAAATTTTTTGAAGAATTTAGACTTAATTAGTTTAGAATATACGACAATAAAAATGCGTAACTTAATTATATATGAAAATACAGAACTAAAGCATTATTGACTACCAATAGGAAATAAGATACATAATTAAATTAACATACCACAATCTGAAAGATGAATTATTGTTTTGCTATAGGGGAATAGACAAAATAATACTTAAATGTATTCAATAGAGATTAATAAAAATGATCAGTGATATTAATATATTAATATAAGATAGGAGAGAGATAACGTTATTGTTTTCCAGAAAATAAATGTTATATAGTTGATATTATTAATAGAAGAATAGAGAGATAATGTTATAGTCTTAATTTTAGGTGGGATAAAGCAACCGGATTAATTTCTTGAATCATCATCACAGATGAAACGAATGCACCATCTCTGGAAAAGATCTTGAGCAATTGTGATAGCGCAGCACAAATCTATTAACAAACACCGACAGATAAATTTTTTAAGTCACCTCTGTTTCAAAGATACTATCCAGTTACAATCTTCCATGTTTTGACAGTGATTCAAGCTTAATTATGATCGGGGTTGCAAATATAACTCCGAGAATCTATATATATATAAAGAAGAATGTCTGTGTGTTCGTTTGTTCGTGATTAAATCAGTCACTACTACAGCTTCTTCACCGAACTTTCTACAATTCTTTTCTGGGTCTTGGGAAAGGTTGACGTTCACTTTTTTTCCAAAATAAAAGTAGCTAAAATCAGAGATATTAATTAAAAACTATGAAAAGTCAAATTTTCATCATCATTTTTCCGAGTGACGACAATCTCGCACAATGAAGATAACAATCTGCTTTATTTCGAGAAATGTTGCCACTGCTCGCTTTCAAATCGTTGAGTTGGTTAATAAAAAATTTCTAAGTTTTACAACGGAATAAAAATAGCATTGTCAAACATAAATACATTATTTCCGATTCCAAAAATTCGTAGGAAATCATTCCGATTGTTTCCATCTTCGTACGACTTTAATCAAGCGAGATATTAATTAAAAACTCAGAAAACACTCATTTTTCTGAGTGGCAACAGTCTCGTACATTGGAGATGAAAATGCTTTACTCCGAAAAGTGTTGCTACTGCTCGCTTTCAAATCGTAGTCTGTTACTCAAAGTTTAATGAAATTTATGCATATAAAGAAGAATGTTTGTTTGTCGCATTACTGATTTCTAATCAATTATAATCCATTTTCTGCCACATTTAACCGACTAAAGTTGGATATAGGTAAAATACTGGACGGAACTTGAGCCTTTACGACCATTTGATTAGTAAAAAACGAAAATCATTCAAAACTGCGTGCCGTTATTGCTGATATAATGGGAGAGAATTAGTTTATATTTTCTATCAAAATTTTTTATGTGGGTTCCCTATTGCATCAGACTGAAAAATTTCTGAGTATGAATCATATTTTTTGCATCGTTATTAGAGGAGGAATACAGTAGTATCGTTCTTTCCGAGATAGATTACTCTCAATCTAACTTAACTGGCATCAGGTACTTCCGATATTATTATTGTATAGAGTAAAAGTTAATTACAAGTAGATAAAGCTTTACTCCTAATGATAACAGAAAGTTACAGTAATCAGGATATACTTACGAGAAATATTTCAACGGCTCCAACTAGATACATGGCACCCGCTAACGTCGTAGCCAGATAAAACAATATTCCCACAGCGCCCCCAAATTCTGGGCCTAGGGAACGAGATATCATAAAATACGATCCACCCGCTGAAAAAGAAAAGAATTAATCAGCATTCTTTCAGTTAACTAACTCATTATGTACTACACTATGTACTATACAACACTTACCCGGTACTATGCCATTCGTTGCAATAGCGCTCAAAGAAATAACAGTGGTAAATGTCTGCAAAATGAGAAGAATATAAGTAAAAAATAAACTCCATCTAGCATGGAAAAGTATGGTCTATAAATGTATTAAATACATTAATAAATGTGAATATTTGAAGTTTTAGTCGTATGATATTTTTATGATTTTGTAAGATTTTGTAGGTAAAAGTTTACGATTGGGTGCCCCTTGTTTATTTTGGCGATAATTTTTGACGCCAAACATCACAATTTCAAGATGGCCGCTACACAAAACCAAAATAAGAAGTATCATCAACTTAAAAAATATTAACTGCTACAAACAGATTTTGAGCTAGCTATATTTCAGCTCAACATCGCCAGTTTTGAGATCATTCGTGCCGATATTTCACATGTTATAAGAATGTTAATATTTTTAAGTATAATAACACGCAGCTCATAGTTGAATATATTAAAACAGGTTTTTACTAAAGTAATTTACAAGATGACAGAAAAGTAAGATTAAAATTCATATAACATTAATGATGTAGTTTAGATCGTTATTCCGACAGTCAGGAAAAAAATCTGAAAGATTTTCAGATTTTAAATTACGTCCACAGGGGCATTTTTCTTAATGTTTTGTGTGTTACCTTTATTTATTAAATATTATGTTCTACGTACTTAAACCATAAAACTCAGTTCAAGAGCAATATCATAAAATAATTTTAAAATGAGCAAATCTTTAGAATTTTCGATACACAGTCTTGCGCGCTGGAGATAAAAAAAAATTTTTTTTCGTGTAGTTTTACTATTGCTTGCTTTGAAATCGTTGAGTTTGTTAATCAAAAATTAGTTAAAATTTTACAAAATTTCAAATAGATAATAAAACAAATTCAAAACTCGGGCTTCCGAGTGCCCATGTTTGGTTAGAGGGCTATGTTATTGAGAATTTAATGGCTCTAGGAACCGTTGTTTTTTCGCAATGCCAAAAACATTCATGCAGATTCTTCATTGCTTAGTTTCTGTAATATATAATACATTATATATTTCAATGAGTACGGTAAGTGAATAACTATAATTGATCATCTATCTGGCTCTCACATGCCTTCCAGCACTTTCGACAGGTAATAGAGATTTCTGGGCGGCCGGCGGAAAACTATATAAGACCAAAGAGAACATCAATTTCTGAGTTGTTAGTTCAGAGATGAATTCTGATTGAGATATTCACGAGAGCTTCATCTTTTAGATGCCTTTGCATTACGTTGTGTTTAACGCTTTTAGTAAGTTAGTGTAACTTAGTAAGTGTAACTGCTGATTGTGATCCGTGATACTGTGATGAGCTGTATGACGCATTTTTTGTGAAAAGTTCCAGAACTGTGAAATGATTCGTTTACTAAAATAAAGTTTACTAAGCTATCATCGGTTCTATGTGCATTCAATCTATTACGATTACGAACGCACGCGACAGTATTAAAACACCAACTGCATAGCTGTCTTTCTGAGAAAATTCTAGCTTAAATTCATATATTACATTGTTTCTTTCAAAATTTTAAGTGAAATTTAAAATTGCCATTTTCATTTTGGCATTTCATATTTGTCCTAAAAAGGGCAGCTTCCTACTAGTTACCTAAGCAACATTCAAATGCATTGAAATTCCTACAAAGGTTTAAAGAACAACAACAAAAAAAAAAAAAAAAAAAAAAAAAGGGTGAGGGTTTATAAAATTTTTAATTGAAAATATCATACAGCCGTCAGAGCTGTATTATACGGAAGTATTTTGAAAACATACTGAGAATTTAAATATGGAAGGAAGAAAGATTAATATTATGAAAATCATCATCTGAAATAAAACCTTAGTGCATTCGCTTGCTTTCAAAAATATGTTTTCCAATGATTAGCCATAAAATAATAATAAATTCTTAGAGTATTTTCAACTGATACATTATACAGGGTGTATCAGTGTAAAGTTGACAAACTTTCAAGAGAGATAGATTACACCTAAACGATGGGAAATCACATAGTTGCATCGTCGGAAACACATTCCTGGCACGGTAGAGACGACACAAAACGCAAAAAAGATAGGACACAAACAGTGAGACAAAACACGTTTTATTATGTTTAGTACAGGTGACAGGTGAGACCGGGCGGCTTACTAGGACTATTCGGGTAATTACGTTATGTTTTGTACAGCAGAAATCTACAAATAAGAACAAAAACAACGATCATCATTAAAAAAGGTGTTCGAAATTACGACCCCACACCGTGATGCAGGCCTCACATCTCCGGATGTAAGATCTGCATCACGAATGCAAGATGCATGACGCACGGTTTCTGCATCACGGTCCGGGCCGTAATTTCGAACACATTGTTTGATAATGATAGTTGTCTTTTTATTTATTTATTTAATTTATTTTTTTTAAAGGCGCTTTTGTTCCTGAGCGGACTATTGTTCTCGTTTTGCGATTTCGTGTTGAATCACACTGAATGTCCGTATCACTTTTCAAACTGTAGCGACCCAATATTATCGCCCTGTATTATATTTGAAGAAATTAAATGATTAACAATCTGCATAAACATATGTATGTTTCTCGCATTGTGATAAAACAACGGTACCTAGAGCCGTCCAATTTTGAATGACGTAATCCTACTGCAAATATGGGCATCTAGAAGCCCAAATTTGAAATTTGTTTTATTATCAATTTCATATTTGTAAAACATTAACGAATTTTTGATTAACATACTCAAGGATTTCAAAGTGAGCATGGCAACGTTGTACAGAAAAACATTTTTATCTTCAACGCGAGAGATTACGTTAAATTACGTCCAAATGGGCGTTTTTCTAGCGTGTTGTGTGTTACCTTTATTTATTAAATATCATGTTCTACGTACCTAAACTATAAAATTCAGCTCAACAGTAATATCGCAAATTAATTTTAAAATGAGCATATCTTTAGAATTTCTGATACACAATCTAGCGCGCTGAAGATAATATATATATATATATATATATATATATATATATGTATATTCTTTTTTTTTTTTTTGCGTCTGTGTGTACAGTGTTGCCACTGCTCGCTTTGAAATCGTTTATTTCTTAGTAAAAAATTCGTCGAAGTGTTACAAAATATCAAAATCGATAATAAAACAAATTTCAAATTCAAATTAGGGCTTCCACACGCCCATATTCTATGGAAGATTACGTTAATCAAATTTTGAAGGCTCTAGGTACCGTTGTAATTTCTTTAAATATAAGACAGGGTGATAATATTCGGCGGCAACGATTTGAAAAGTGATACAGCCTTTTAATGTTTTCGCTGCAAAATGCCAAAACGAAATTAATAGTCCTTTAGGGCAACTTGCGCCTTTGTACATAATTTAAAATCTGAAACCCTTCAGATTTTCTTTCTTTCCTTTATTTTTGTTGTACTCCAAATAATAAATATGTTTTCTCCCCCCCCCGTTCGTGACCTTTCTTTCTTGACTTTTGTGTAGTCACTATACCGCGCTAGGAAAGCGTTTCCGACTACGCTTTCTTAAGTGATTTCCCATTGTCTAGGTATAATCTATCCTGAAAGTTTGTCAATGCTGCACTGATACACCCTGTATATAATTTTAAACTAGGTAGCATACGACCTTAACTTATTAATCCAGTAAAACTGAGATGTGAATTGTATTTGTTTATAGAAATTTCTTTTCTCTGATAAATGCAAGAAAATATCATTGCTCTAAATGAAAAAAAAAAAAAAAAAAAAAAAAAAAAAAAAACCTAACATTTCGGGTTTTATAAATTATGGAATAGCGTACGGCAGAGTGAACATTTCAGATGGGACGTTTAAAATTGTAGAAGTTCATGATATATTATTAAGGTGACTAGCCGTCCCGATTTTTAACAATTTGTTTCGCGGCGTTTTAAAAAAGTCCAGATTTTTAGAAAGAATTCACGACAAGCTAGGAAACGGCGGGAGAATACGGTTTTCGGCGGCCATGTGGCTACTTCGCCAGGATATGAGTCTTATATTATTTTTGTTAATTTTATAATGTTAAATTTTAATAATAACAAATAATTGTTGACAACTGATTATCGAGAACTGCTTATCAAAGTTCGATTTGTTTGATCATTTGTTAGAAATCGACCACCACTTATTGGCATTGGCAATGACGAAAACATTTTGTAACTATCTCTCAGACGATACACATTACACTGCATGCTGGTAAAACAAGTGATGTCAACAAATCAGCTATTCAGATAATTTAGGTACGCAATTTACTTATTTCATAAACACGTAAATTTTCTTAAATTTTGGCAGTCCTTGAAAGTCGACCTTGAAAGTGACGCTTAGAACTTACGTTACAGCAAATTCAGAAGAAAAATAATACAAGTTAGTATTGTTATTATTTAGGAAAAAATATAGGATTAAAATTAAAATAATTTTTAAAACATAGTTACTTTATAACAAACAAATTAATTTAATTTTTAAACTAACAACAAAATATGTCCATGTAATTATTTACCTACTTACTGTGTTTTTAAGCAATATATATAAAAATTTATACGTGTTTTGTTAAAATTTAAATTAAATTTTTTTAATTATATAAAAAATTATAATATAATTTATAAATTTATAATAAATTAGTTCTTTAGATTTTTAACATAATAAGTAAGAAATGCAAATTCAAAGATGATCTAAGAAGTGAATTTCCTCTTCTTAAGCGATTACATGGTAAAATGTGAGAATGGTAATGGTGAATTTTCTATTTCGCCAGGCTGGAAGAATGATATTTCAAAGCTCTCGGAGACACAGAAACATAAAAGATATTTAAATATTACTGCATCTTCCTCCAAAATGCAGGAATTCTTTCGAAAAACAATTTATGGAGACGAAGAAAAGAAATTAGTATTAGCAGAAGGACTTATACCTCTTTCATGCCGTTAATCACAATCATTCACCTTCAGATCTATGGACTGTACATCACAAATTGTCCAAACGTTATTTAAAAAATCTTGATGTGTACACCACATGACTTCCTTGTACGGAATATTAAATTATACGCCGCATTTTTTCTTGCATTTTATTTAAACTTATTAGATTGAATTAAACCTACTTCGCCGACCGCCACGCGCATAAACCACAATAGAATAAATGCATTCTTTAAAATTCACTTTGTTTCCCTTAGCGAACTCTGGCGGTAGGTTTACTTAACAGTAATTATATTTCATTCATATTATAACTCAGAATGCACAAAATGTATATCATTTAAAGAATTATCTAATCGTTGCCACATGTTCTATTCAAATACTATAATAAAGCTAGAACTATGTATAAAAGAAATTAAGCAAACAAAACAGAAACAGTTTTTCACAGACTATTGAGTATTTCTCATTTAATTAATTCAGTTCTCACTTCGAAGAAGGCAAAAATATATAAAAACACAAAATATCTATATTAAAAATTACGAAGTAAATCTCCAACGCTTATTTCCTCGAAAAAATTCCAGAAAGAATGAAGCATGATTTAATTCACAATAATAAATGAATGCGTTATCTTTGTTGTTGCGAAGCTAAGTTTCTCTAGATTGGCAACAAATCCATTAGTCTCCTGTTTCAAATGTAAACATCAATGGCCGCCATTAAAAACAGGCTTAGCGGCAATTAAACAACTTTAAAAATTGCTGATAATTCTAAAAAATATTGCACACAGAGATTTACTAAGGCATAGGCATAAATCCTTAACCGGAAGATAAAAAACAGCATAATTCAATCATTTTAAAAAAAAAAAAAGCAAAAAATGTACAATTTACAAACATATAAGAGTAAAGAAAATGAAATCACTGAGCCGGGTAATAGAGCGGATATATATATAAATATATTTATATACGTTTGGTGCTGCCGACTGCAACCAAAATACGAGGTGCACATCTACATGTTATAGCAGTCCTATATACAAAATTTCAACGTTCTGAGGCTACTCGCTATGCGAGATACGTACGTACGCACGTACGTACATACGTTCGTACGGACACCACGAAAAATTCTCTTCAGAATTAATTTTAAAGCAGTTTTATAATTTTTTTGAAGGAAAAGAGTATTTTAATGTGTCCTTACGTACAGATATGACGCAAAAACATCGTTAAATTGCATTCGATAGCGGTCAAATTGGATATTTTCGTTGAAATATGCTGCCTGAAACTTTTCGCGATTACAATACTTCCTTTTTACTTCGTACAAAAAAGTATAAAAAAAAAAAAAAAAACACCTGACAGCAATCTACTAAAAGAATTCACTCAAATGAGAAATATGCCAAAGAATAAAATAGCGTTCGATGAAATTTGTGTTGCTCCATATAGACCAAATTTTTAATCAATAATTCTCCCCCCCCCCTGGTAAATGGTGTCCCGCTTTACCCATGATAAAATCTGGTCACCTTAATATATTACAAAGATGAAGATTACTTTATCTTATTATTACAAATATAAAGATCATCTTTATGAAAGAAATTTTATTTCATTAAATGCTTACCACACAGCAGCATAAGAAAACGGTGATAAAACCGACTATGGCACCCGCCGTTCCGACGATCCACACCAGACGAATGAAAAAGATGACTCCAAAGATGTTTTGGATGCATGGTAAATATACACCTGCTATTGTTCCCAGATTTGCTTTCTGCGACATAAAAAGAAATTTTAATCTATATTATATTTAATTTACATTACACTTCTATATACAGTGGAACCTCGAGATAAGAGTTTAATTCGTTCCAGCATTGAGCTCGTATAGCAATTTCTCGTATCTAGAAACAAACTTCCGCATTGAAAATAATGGAAACCCAGTTAAATCCGTTTTGCACTCCCAAAAATATCAACATCAAAATCAATTTTTCTAATAAATAACACTAGTATAAAACACAACCGTAGTTTTTCTTTATGATAGCTTTCGACACCGACCTCTTAACTGCTTCTCGTTAATCCACACCGACAGCAGCTTCTCAACATCTTCTGGGAGTTTGGGGCGGTGCTTAGAAGTAACGGTAACTCCTTTGCCTACATCAAGTTTATTAATTTTTTCTTGCTTCTTCAGAATCGTGTAAATCATCGATGTCGAAAGGTCGCAAGTCTTCGCCAATTCTGTCACTCTTACATCACGCTTGTTTATCTATGATCTCTGTCTTAATTTCAACGGCCATGGCTTCCTTATTTTTATTTGCACCACTATCTGAAGCAACTGTTTTCTTGGGAGGCATCGTGAAATAATTATTTTCACGTTAAATGTAATAAACAATTGAGTCTCAAGCGCACAAGCACGTAGATCAAAGAACACCGAGTGATCTGTCGAGGAGATTCCCCGAGTCGAGCCGAATCGGGAAATGTTGCCACGCATACCAACAACCTGGCTCATCGCTCGTCACTCGAGTCAATGCTCTTATTTAGAGACGAGTGTTTCGCTCACACTGGCCTCGTATCTTGAATTTCTCGTACATAGAGGTGCTCGTATCTCGAGGTTCCACTGTATATCAGATTTATTTTATACATTAATAAAGAGTGAGTTATATTTCACTAGAATTCAATTATTCGAATTTCAGACATTCAAAACTTCAAGTGCCCGGATGCATTATAAGCATTCTGTTCAGCTCCACGCACATAGGGAAAAAACCCCTCCTCGTGATTGGTCTTAGGCTTGAAGAATCAGCGAGGTCATTGATTTGCCCTGCGGAATCTCCTGCTATTCCGAGTTGTTGACAATCGCAGTAGGAATATCAAGGAGTCAAGAAAACATCTGCTTTTATATTTTTCTAATCAAAATTACTTGATGCTGATTTTTCCCCTTCTAAATTATTCTGGTCCTTATTTTTCAACGCAAAATTTATTCTTAAGACCTTCTGAGTTTTGACCTCTTTATTAAATTCCTACTATTAGCTCACACTCTCCCTATATCTTGTTCAAATTTTCAATCGTTAATAAAATACTTTTTATACATCCAGTCAAGTTCAAATACTTTTTTTAAAATTTGTAGTGGATGACACTTGACAGTTTTTTCACATATTAAAATTAAAAAAATTTTTTTGTATTTTTTAAAAAATTTTTTTTCTTTGTTGACCTCAAGTAGGAATTGCCTTAAATTTTTTTTTATTTATTAATTAATTTTCAGTCGTTAATAAAATACTTTTTATTCATCCACTCAAGTTCAAATACATTTTTTTTAAACTTGTAGGTGGCTGACACTTGATGCTAATACAGTTTTTTCACATATTAAAAAATTTTTAAATTGTTAATTAAAAAAAATTGTATTTAAAAAAAAATTTTTTTGTTGACCTAAGTAGGAATTAATTTTTTTTTTATATTACTTGTTTTGCAGAGCAAACGCATTTAATCTTTAAAGTATTTATTTTCGGCTTTCCCAGTTTTTTACCCTTTTCGTGATAATTTTAATTCTTTCGATGATGTAATGATGAGGCGCAAGCGTAATTCTGCGTATGAATTCCGTAATATGAACTTCCTTTATTCCTCGTGAATGGATATGGCTTTTGATGACATTATTTCTCTATGTTTAGGAAGCAAGCCTTGACTGTGCTTGAGCTCGATGGTACAACTCCATACTGTTTGTTTACATTTTGATAGCAGTACCGAAAAGATTATTAAGTACGTTGTATTTTTGTTGCTATGAGATTACACTTCTTACAACACTATACTGTAGACAAGTTAATATAAAATATGTGGTGATTTTGTTCCCCTAGAGATAAAAAGTATTATGTCTTCTTGTGCTAACTTCGCTACTGTGTATAAATATTAAGTGCAGAGATTTTTAATAAATGTATGCTTAATTTAAAGCCCTTCATATTAAAGGTGCTGTAATTATTAATTCATTATTTCATGTTCATGATGTATCCATTCTGTGCTGATGCAATCTGCGAAAGCATGAGACAAGTCTATTTTCGGAAATGGAGCTAACATACAAGGTGTCATTAAAAAAAATAAAGATACTGGTCCAATAAATCATTGTACGTACAGAATCAGTTCTCCGTGACACTATCTCACCTTCAAAGTAGTTCTCTTCAGCATTCACACACTTCTGCATTCGCTGCTGCCATTGCTGGTAACAGTTCTGTAAGGAGGGTCTTGGAAAGCCCTTTAAGGAAATGCCCCGTTTTTGCCTGAACCTCTTCAATTGATGTAAAATGGGTACTCTTTAAGACAGATTTAACTTTAGGAAATAAAAAAAAAAGGTCGCATGGAGCCAAATCAGGTGAATAAGTAGGATGCCCAATCACAGTAATTTTTTTGCTGGTCAGAAACTGCTTGACAGATAGGACCGTGTGAGCGGGTGCATTGTCTTGGTGCAACAGCCATCCATCACTCCAGAACTGTAGCCTATTTTTTTTCACCGAAGTCTTTTTAGTAGTTCAGTATAGTGGTGTTGTTGAACAGTGCGACCACTAGGAACCCACTCAATCATGATGAACGTGCGTCATCTTCCACACCATCCCTTTCCCTGAAAACCGACAAATCCAACAAAATTGAAATAATAATAATA